TTTTGTAGGGGACATAAGAAGAGGCAATGCCCCACACTGACCTCGGATTTGAGCATACTTGCTTTTAAATCCTCAGCTAGACATATACAAATTAAAAGTGATATAGATTAATGACATCAAGGAACACTGTCTCTGTTTTTCAAAGTGTATGCCTATGGCTTAACCATTTATAAAACAAAGGCCCTCAGTCTAAGCTGAGAACTTGAGACGTTACTTCTAAAAAAAGTTGTGCATTTTCTCTTGAGGAAATCAAGCAATTAAATTTATATAAAAATATATTCAGACGACAGGACTGTGAAAAATGAACATTGTGGTGTCATTTTTTTTTTTTTTTAAATCCTGATTGGAGGTTTGGTATGCTTGCTATGATAATTATATTTTCAAAGATCTAAAGATAAAAATACATTTGTATCCCAGTGTACATTAAAAAAACAAAAAAACAACTCTTTTGATAGGAGATGAATATGACTATCTATTTTTAAAGAATCAGCAGGGTTTTTAGCAATATAGGCATACTTTGTATTGGTGTTTTTGCATGTTCAAGTTAAGAATTTGTTCTTTATTTTGTTGATTTTATTTTCGTAAAACTCGTGCATGCAATGCAATGTGCTAGTAATTTTTTATTTTCTTCAACATTTGAGAAAAAAAACATTGAACTCATTGGTCACATTTTATGTCCTCTTAGTCCAAAAATATATTGTTCTGGATATACTTGTTATGGGCAAATGCAAATATTACAAGTTTTAGAATGCAATGTTGTATTTTTAAACAGTGTACTTTGTCTTTAAGATATTGCAAACTGACAAGGTGTTAGAAATGGAACATATTGTTTTTCATACAAAGTTTCTTTAATAAATAATCTCTTATCTACTTTCAGTGCATAATATGCTGCGTGGTTCTAACATACTCCATTTTGTCTTAGCTTAATGGAATTTTCCATGACGTGTGCACCCTTATGTTTTAGTTATGGCCTTGTATCTTTGCCAAGTTAAGGGAGGTCCTAAAATGAACATCTAAGGTATAAATTTGTACCTTTTTAATGTTAGCACACAGGGGAGAGATTTGGAGACAGAAACACTGCTCCATCTTATAATGACTGAGAGAGGCTGACATTTTGACATGTTCAGGAGGGTATGTTATTATATTTTAATGATATTGCAAGCATATACTTTAATCTTATAAACTCTGCTATAAATTATTGTAATGGATTTTATATGTGTATATATATATATATATATATATATATATATGTATATATATATATATATATATATTATTTTTTTATTTAATAAAATATCTAAAGACAAAACTTTATTGCTTCCAAGACAATCCTTATTTTATATTGTAGTCTCAATTATTTATGTATTTTAGATAGAAGATCTGTTAATAACTATATAATATTATGGCTAAGATATCTGTATGGTTAGCTCTGCTAAGTTCTATGCTTTAAGACGTTATAGTGGTAAATAAGGGAACTGGCCATGGTTACATACTGAATTAAAGGGACACTCCAGTGCCAGGAAAACAAATAGTTTTCCTGGCACTGCAAGTCCCCTCTCCCTATACCTCATTTTCACTAAATTCATAACATGACTTGGACTGGTTTCAGATACTTCCTAGTCTAAAGAGGGCTAATGCAAGGAGCTGCAAAACCTGGAGATTTTCAACAGACCCAAGAATTAAGGCCTGAATTTAATATTATTGGCGTTCCAGGTAACTTAATATTTTTGGCTAAACTTTTAAAAAGATTTTGTTAACATATTAAAATATCAAACAATATATCTTATATTACAAAAATGCATAAATATATCAAAATTATTCAAATGTTACATAATTTATATATTTTTCATAATCGTAAATAATTTTAAATGATTATCAAAAAATATTAAACCGTTTGGAAAGCTAAACTAACAGTATTAAATTGAGGATATAGTCTTACACAAAACTTTATATTTAAATATTTTTATTTTTATTAAATATTTTGCATGTAATATTATAAATGTTACAAATGGGGTTCAACATCAGGTGCATGTCTAGCCAGTAAAAGGGTTTCCAACTAGAAAGACAATTCTGCCTTGAAAAGAGATGCTCAACTTTTATCCTAATGCACATAACAGTCTCAACAGATGTTTTTGTGTCTTAGAGCTCAGAGCTCAACAGATGTTTTGTGTCTTATGTTATATTCCTTTTTTAATGCTGGTCTTTCCTTGCCAATCTATGTCAGCATCAACTGTGGGTTAGCTCCTCCCTTTCAAATTATGGTATATAAGAAATCCACCTCCCCAGAATAAGCAGTCTTTTTTCATGTCCTCCAGTTGTTAGGCAGCACAACAGTTTTATTTTAAAGTTCACCTTCCATTAGTTTTTCATTATGGCATCCCTAGGGAGTTCAGCCACTCTCCCCAAGGAAGAACAAAGATAAAGCCCAAGGAGTTTGTGACTCTGTGTTAAGGTTACTATGATAGTTCATAGTAATTAAAGATTGACTTTGCTGGACTAAATTCTACAATGTTTAAATCAAATATTGCGGTGGTAAGGGAGCCTGGTTGCCTTAAGTGCATGTTGGGTGTACCAAGATGGCCGCCACGGTCGATTTTGGCTTTGTAAGTAGATATTTCAGTGCAATTTGCTAACATCCAGACTTGAGGATTCAATCTAAAGAATCCAAAATTGCCGATCGGCATCTTCCTATTTGCACTGAGTATGTGCAAACTGCCTTACAGGGCCAGAGTGACATTTAAGGAAGTTCATGGGAAAGGTCTTTTTAACCCCTTAAGGACACATGACATGTGTGACATGTCATGATTCCCTTTAATTCCAGAAGTCTGGTCCTTAAGGGGTTAAGGTAGTTATTCCTTCTGAATGGTTTGTTTGGTGAATTTGCTGCTGCTAAATGTTGGTTTTAACTCTGATATTTATCATAAAGTTAAGGGAATTACTATAATTTGGTATTAAAGGTTTTTTAGTAAGTTTTATTTTGCTGGTATATGTTTGTAATGATTTTATTTCAATGTTTAATTTTTATTAGATATTTAAATTACATTACAATAAAGACAAATGCAAATATATTGACAAAATTTTAAATACATATATAACATTGGAATGTTTGTATGATTTTATATATCTATAAGTGCATTATCGTAAAATATTGTTTTATCCAATTCCAATAATTCATGCATATTTCCATTCATACAACAAAGCATAAAAAAACAATTAGAGAAGAAAGAATGAGAGGAGAAAAGAAAGGAGGAATCATTGTGTTATGGTTGAAGATCATCGGGGTATATTGGCATTCTTAAGATAAAATGATATGTTCAAATAAAGCCAGTATAAATCTTATACTTTATATGACTATTTTTTCAGGGTATTGTTTTATGTTTTTCTTAAGAGATAATGTTCCATTTTTCCAATATTTCTTTATATTGTGAGAACCTACCAGAATTTCTATAGAATGTCTCTTCATCTGCCTTTGATAATTGATCTGTTTTTTTTATTTCTAATAAGCACAATGCAGTTGGAAATTTCAATTTTCTGACTATAATAAGTTTGGTTGTCATTAAAATATGAATAAGTAAGGTTTTCTGTTCAGAGTTCCAATTTTGAAAATCTAAATGAAATATGAAAGTCTGGTGTAATAACGATATTTGGAGTACACCTAGTATAAATATGTTAGAGATCTGCTTCTTTATTCCTGCTAAGTCTTTGCATTCCCAACACATGTGGTAAAGTGTATCTTCTTCCTTAGCACATCTCCAACATTTTTCTGAATATCTAGTTTTTTAGTTTTTTTTTTTTAATTTGACAATTTTTATTGTACAGTGCATGCTGGTTAAATTACATTTTACAGAGTGTTGTACATTTTGTATGATCGATTAATATGACATATTAATGTGACATATCATATGCAAACTATTCTTGATATACATCTACTTCTCCCACTGCTCTTTGTCTTTGCAGGTGTTTGATGTAGATGAGGAGATGTGTAGGACCGTTTGTTCCTTAACAGCATATCATACTATTTCACATCATACATACAAGATAGTACATACTTTTCTACACTGTACCTTTTTATGTATTAATCCTGGGCGGTTGGAGTGGGGCGGTGGATATAGGGGGGTGGGAGGGGGTACAACTTGGTGCGAGAGATCTGTGTGGTTCTTGGGTTTCCCTTTGTGTGCCATGTCCTTCATGTTGTGTGTTCTAAATAATCATTCCACATTTTGTGTGCTAGTCTAATGTGCTTTTTTATGCCATATTGGTTTGCATATGCCATTTCGTAGGCTCAGTTGAGTTTTATCTGGTTAATGAGGGCTTCTCGTGTGGGGGCCATCGTTTTTTTCAAAAGCCTGGCAATGCTTATGGCTGCTGAAATTAGTATGTGGTAAGTTACTGCCAACTTCTCTTTAGTGAGGGAGTCCAGAGGGATAAATAATATACATAATTCCAAGGTTAATGTTATTTGTGTCTGTATACCTTCATTATGATATTTTGTATCTCCTGCCAGTATGGCTGCAGGACATTACATATCTTTCAAATGTGCTGCATATTTCCTGGGATTTGTCCACATCTCCAGCATCTATCTGGTGACTGTAGCCAGATCTGGTGGATTCTGGTTGGGACTAGGTACCATCGGTACATTAGTTTGCATTGTAATTCTATGTGTGTTGCGCATGATGTGACACCTTTATGTGATGTGTAAGCTTTAGACCATTTGTCCGTTGGTATTATTCTGCCCAGTTCCTTGTGCCATGATTGAATGTATGTGTCCTTCCCTTGGTCTGACCCCAAGAGCAGTGTTTTGTAGCATATGGAGATTCATTTTTTGGGTGGTTTCCTATGCATGCAGATCATCTCAAAGTCGGTCATTTGTGTTGTGGTTTCTCTATTTTCCCTGGTAGGTTTGTTTTTAGTTAGGTAGGATTTGATTGCATGTATGCAAATACCAGTCTGTGCAGGAGATTGAATTCTTGTTGTATGTCTGCACAGGGTTTTATGCCTACTTCGTTGTATAACTGCTTGATCTCCTGAATCCCGTTCTGTAGCCATGGTTGTATATTCAAGGTTGGTATTATGGGTTCTAGTTCTGTTGAGGGTGCCGCCATCAGCATTGGTAATTATTGCACCATTGTGGGTTTTGCGGTGTCCCAATGGTGTAAGATGTGTTGTGTTGTGGGCAGGAGATGTGCCCAGCTGTTCTCTATTTCAAGCCATTGTGGTGATGAGGGGTGTGCTCTTAGTTGTGGCACAATTGTTAATGCTGTTGCTCTGTGGTAAATTGTTAGATCTGGGCGTCCCAGTCCTCCCTGGTTTAATGGTTTCTGTAGCAGCTTTGCTGCCACTCTGGGTTTTTTGTTCTGCCATATGAAGTTAATTATCATTTTTGTCTGGTAAGGGGATTTGAAGCGTTCTATACAAATATTGTAATTTTGGTAGGAGTGACATTTTTATTGCAGCTATTCGGCCTACCCATGATAAATATTTTCTCTCCCATGCCTCTAGTGTTGTTTTAAATACTGTGAGTAAGGGTTGGTAGTTCATTTTAAACAGGGAGGCTGGGTTCTTTGTCATTTTTGTGCCTAAGAATGTGAGGAAATCCTCTCTCCAATCCAGGGAGAATGAGCTTTTGAGGGTTTTCAGTTGGGTGCTGGTTAGATTTATGCCTAGTGCTTGTGTTTTGGTAATGTTTAGTTTGTAATATGAAACACGTCCATATGATGTGATGTGGTGTATGAGATTGGGTAGGGATATATGTGGTTGAGTCAATGTTAGGAATACGTCATCTAAGAAAATACTTAATTTATATTCTTTTTGGTTCAATATAATCCCATGGTTTGCCGATTCCACCCTGATCTTGGCAGCCAACGGCTCCAATGCCAGGATGTTTAGCAGGGGGGGAAGGGGGCATCCCTGGCGGGATCCATTTGAGATTGTGAATCAGAGCAGAATCCCGCATTGATGACTCTTGCTGCTGGGTGGCTGTACAAAGCTGCCATTGTGTTCATGAATTGAGATGGGAAGCTGAATTTTAGTAGGACAGCTCTTAGGAAGTGCCAGTTGAGTCTGTCAAGGGCCTTCTACGCATCTAATGATACTAGAAGGCTAGCCAATCCCTTTCTTCTTATGCTATGTATCAAGTCTAGGACTTTCCTGGTGTTGTCTGCCCCCTGTCTTCCTTTCACAAAGCCCACTTGGTTGTTATGTATTAGTGTTGGTAATATTAAACTTAGCCTACTGGCGTAGATTTTTGCATATAATTTTGCATCCGTGTTAAGGAGTGAAATTGGTCTAAAGTTTGGACAGTGGGTTGGTGGTTTCCCTGGCTTGGGGAATGTTATTATGTGTGCCAATGACAGTTCTTCTGGGAGTGATTTTTCTTGTGTTGCAGAATTAAATAGAGATGCTAAGTGGGGGGCCAGAGTGGGTGCACATTTTTTGTAGTACAGGTTCATAAAGCCGTCCGGGCCTGGTGCTTTGTTCTTTGGTAACGTGTGTATGGCATCCTCTACTTCTTTAGCAGTGATCAGGTTTTGTAATAAGGTGATTTGGTCTTGGGTAAGTGTGGGGAGTGAGACGTCATGTAGATATGTTGCTATGTCTTGATCTGTTGGGAGATGTAGTTGGTTGAAGTGTGCCAGATTATAGAGTTTGTCATAGTATTTCGCAAAGTCGTTACTGATTTCTATGGGTGATATTACTTTTGTGTTGTCGTGAGTGTGTATAAATGGAATTTTAGCATTTGCCTCAATTCGTTTTAGTCTAGCTGTCAATGTTTTGCTGGCTTTGTTCCCTTGCGTGTAGTATGTGGCTTTAAGTTTGCAAAGGTTGAAACCCACTCGCTGTATCATGCATATTTTTATTTTGTTCGCAATTTCATTAATGTTTTTCTGCATTGCTGCTGTCGGGTTAATTTTATTTTTGAGGTCTGCTACTCGTGTGTCCCAGGTCAGCCATTGGGCTTGGCTTGTTTGTTGCAAGTGTGCTGCTCGCCTGATTAGTATGCCTCTTATTACCGCCTTGTGTCCCTGCCATATTGTTCTTGCTGTCGCATCTCCTGTGTCATTAAGTGTGAAAAATTCCATGATGGCTTTTTCGATTTGGGTTGTAAAAAGCTGATCTGTCAACAGAGATTCATTGAGTCTCCATGGGCCCTTATGCTTGTAATCGCAATTGTCTTTGAGAGTCATTGTTATTGGGGCGTGGTCTGACCATGTGATCTGGCCAATAGAGCAGTCCAGAACTTGATCTAAATGTAGGCTCTCAACATGAAATCTATCTATTCTGGTGTAGGTGTTGTGTGTGGAGGAGTAGTATGTGTAGTCCTTGTCTTGAGGGTGTATGACTCTCCATACATCATACAGTTTATTGTTGTTCAGTGGTTTAAGATATGTTGCGCAAGTTTTTTGTTGCTTGTTCAGCATTAGTCCAGTGGGCTTGGTGGTGGTGTCTAACTTGGGGTCTAGGATGTGGTTAAAGTCCCCTCCAAGAATTAGTATCCCCTCCTGAATCCGTTGTAATATAGTTAGGATTTTGTACAGGAAATTTCTCTGATTTGTGTTGGGAGCATATACATTGGCTAGCATGTATTTTGTGTTATTAATCGTACATATTACTATTGTGTACCTACCCTCAGGGTCTGTCTGGGAAGAGTGATGTTTGAAGGAGACTGAGTTGCTAATTAAGATCGATGTTCCTCTAGTTTTTTTCCCCGAAGTGGTGTGGTACTGGTGCGGGTATAGGGATTGTTTTATTATGGGGGGGCTTTTAAAATTAGTTTCTTGGAGATATATTACGTCCGGTTGGTCCCTCTTGAGATCTCTGAAAAGGCAGTGTCTCTTGTATGGGGTGTTAAGCCCTCTAACATTGTAGCTCTGTATTTTCATACTTTAGTGTGTAGACTTGGAGTGCTAATGAAGCGTTGTGCTGGGGTGTGCTGGCCTGTGTTTTGGCCCTGTAGGTTCCTCTAGTTCTCATTGCCAGAGGGTTTTGTGTGATTGATGTGGCATATAATGGTGATTATAGTAGTTTCTGTTGGCTGAAAAAGATGGGCCTTGCTTTTGGTGTGTACCAACTTGGGTTGTGTCAGGGAGCTGTTAATGAGAAGGAACGGTGTCTCTCGTGGGTTGTAGGTAAAGGTATAGGCTGGAGGGTATTTGGTGGGTTGTACTGTGAGGGTACGAGAACTGATTTATCGCAACTATAGCCCAATAGTGGGCCGATGGTCCGAGCATCGGTATCATGGGAACGTGGTATTCCGAGAGGTATGCAACCTTAGTAATTGGCCTGTACCTTTTGCTGTGACCTGTTATAGTAATGGTTTGACCCCTTAAACCCTAGTTGCTCTTTTATTGGGTGCCTGTGCCTGACTGGTGATCTTTGCAGTCTTGTGGGTTACTGTGACTATCAAACATTTCAATAACATAACAGTGTAAAACCATACCCGTCAACTTAGTACATGTTACATTTGTTTGTTTGTGCGAACATCCTTATTTTTTATATATATATACATATATATATATATGTATCAATATTGTTAGAGGAAAACCTATGTGGTTTGCAGTACAGGTGTCCCCTTTTTCTTTCCATGAATTTTTATTGTATGACTGGCTAGCTGGCTTCTGTTTTTACAGTATGTTGCCTCATGTGTTGTCTCCTCTCTGCTACTGGGGGTGAGTTATGTCCTCTCGCTCGTGTGTGTTATGTGTGGTTCCCCTTCTGCTTTGCCAACACTCGTGGCTGCTTATTAAGGTGAGCAGCGCGTCCTGCTTAGCTGTAGAGCTGTTGTTATCTCTCTCCCTCCCTATATGGCTTCGCTGGGTCAATACTGCTCGGGCCTTCTGGGGAGTTGGGGGACCGGACTTTTCTGCTGATTACCCAATAAGTGAGAGATGTTCCCCGTGTGTTGTCCCACGTTACTTAAGAAACCTTGTTTAGTCATGGTACATTTAGACATTCATATCTTACATCTCCCCTATTCCCATCTCCTTCCGTCTTCCTTGCGATCTTTGCATCATGTTGAGGCAATAGGCGCCGTGCTGCGGCCATGTTTAGTTTGGAGTTCCTACTTTGTTCCATAGTTGGGCTTTGGATGTGTGTCACTCACTTAACGGCTGCTGCCCATATTCCTGCTTGTGCCCATTGAGGAGTGTGGTCACCCATATTGGTTGTGCTGTAGGCATGATGGTTAGTGTCTCAATATTGCCTCTACAATATGATGTTGCTATCAGGCATTTTTCTTTCCCGTGAGTGCGTTTAGTGATTTGTAAGGGTGGGAGTTATTTACCTAGGTGTGTTGCGAGGGTAGTGTGTGTGGTTTGTATGCAATATATTCACCTGTCCTGAGAATGTTCGCAGTGCTTGTGTGAGTCCTCCATTTAAATTCGTTAACTTCAACGTATTTATAACTTGTTCTCAGATCCCTGGTTTTCGTCGGTAGCGTATGGCATTCATGCCATTTTAGCCGCAAGGTGGGTCTTTATTTTGCTGCTAATCCAATCAGGGTGCAGTGCGTCTGTTTTCGGTGTGTGCTTTCTTCCAGTTGGCTGTAAGCTTGGCTTTGTGTTGCTGGTTGCTGCTTCTCGCTTGGGTGTGTAGAGGTTGGATGCCCCATTTTTTCAGAATTTTCCGTCCGTCGTCAGGAATGTTGATTACATTTAGGATGACATTTTTGTGGATGAGTAGGCGCACTGGATGCCCCCAGCGATATGGAATGTCATGGGACCTAAGTGCATCGGTTATTTCTTTGTATTCTCTCCTTTTTTGTAGAGTTTGTGCAGAGAGGTCTGTGAATAGTTGGATAGTGTTGTACGGATCAGGTAGGTCTTTGGGCTGTCTTGTAGCTTTCATCAGTGCTTCCTTTACATGGAAGTAGTGGAGCTGGGTTAGTGTGTCCCTGGGTGCTTCTTCAGGTAGGAATTTTGGTTTTGCTACCCTGTGTGCTCTGTCCATGAGCAGGATATCCGCTGGTAGATCAGGGGCCAAAGTTTTGAAGAAATCCATTAAGTATGCCATGATATCCGTTTGTTTCACCATTTCTGGTATGCCTCTAAGGCAGATGTTCTGCCTTCTCGACCTGTCTTCCAGGTCTATGATTTTGTTTTGGGATGCCTCTAGTGCTTGTTCCATTTTTTGGACATGATCTGCCATATCGTTATGTGCCTCTGCATATTCTCCCATGTGGTTTTCCATGCGTGCTGTCCTGTCCCCCAGCTCCTGGATTTCTTTCCTTAAGTCTGATATGGATTTATTGAGGTTCTGTAGTAGTTTGTTTGACATTTCTTCCAGGCAATTATGGAGTATGTCCTGCGTTACAGGTAGACCTCTCTCCCCAGGGGATCCTTGTAAAGGCAACGTATCGTCACCATCTTGTTCTTGCTCTGCTCCACTCTGGGGCTTAGTTGGCTGGTTACGGGCCGAGAAAAATCTGGTTCTGTCAGCTTTCTCCAGGATCTTTTTCCCTTTGCTTTGTGCCATGTTAGGGGTGTTTATAATCAGGGTTTGCTGGTCTCTGTCGCTAGTTTAGCCGCTGTTTTAGACCAGTTTAAGACGGAGCGTCACTCACATGTGTCCGCTGAGGAAGGTCCCGAGCGGGGACCAAAACGTTGGTCGTTGTTTTTTAAACTTTCCTAATAAATTTTGGTTTTAAAGTCCGGACAGCAGCCTTTCTTGTTCGATTTCTTGTGTGTGTGTATATATATATATATATATTTCTCTGTGGGTTTTTTTTTTTTCACCTGGGAACCAAGTTTTACTGAGAAAAATCTTCAGCTTGTTTTATAAGCGTATCCATATCAGGGCCAGGTGAACATAATAATTTGTTTTGTCTCCATGTTGTTTGAGGAGTATATTCTCTATTATTTTTAATCTTTAAAAATATAGGTGCATGGTCTGTCCATGTAATTTAGCCGATCTTTGAGTTAATACATCTGTTTATTGAATGCAATTTAGTAGTAAGTAAATTGATCCTTGAGTAAGAGCAGTGTCCAATTGAGAAGAAAGTATAATCACGTTCTTGAGGGTGTAATACTCTCTATATGTCGAAAAATAATTTTTATAGTTGCTTGCAATGGCAACGTTTTATCTTATTTGATATCTGGCACATAGTGGAAGTCACCTCCAAGGATTAATGTAACTTGTGTTATGTGATCCATTCTATGCCTTATCTTTTCGAGAAATTTTGTTGGAGATTAGGACACTATACGTTTACCAATATATTAACCCCTTCAGGACGGGTGACGGACGAGGTCCGTCACAGAGGGGAGATCCTTAACGACGAGTGACGGACCTCGTCCGTCACGTGGTAAAATTAACCCCGGATCGCCGCTATCGCGACGATCGCGACGATCGCGGGGTTAATGGTGCTCCGGTATGCCTCTGCATTAGAGGCATACCGGGAGCACCCGGTCAGGCTGCCCAGCACATGTGCTCGCTCTGACCGCAAGTCAGAGCGAGCACATGTGCTCTGTATACTCACCTACTGGCTCCCTGCACTTCCGGGTTCTGTGTGAAGTGCAGGGAGCCGGATCAGTGATGATCCTGCCCCCTGCTGTTAAAAAAATAAAGTTTATTTAAAGTCCCCCCTTACCCATTTTAATAAAAAATTAACCCCTTCCCTGCCAATTGATCACTGACTACAGTGATCAATTGGCAGGGATTACATTTTACTATGATCTGATTTTTTTTTTAATTCTTTTTTTTAACCCTCAGGGGTTAAATTTATTTAATTAATTAATTAAAATATTTTAAAATTATATATTTAGCTAGCTGGGGTGGGTGGAAGTTAGTGGGGAATTGGGGGATTTGGCGTTAGGCTAACTAGGGGTTAACGTTAAAAAAAGTTTTAAAATAAACTTTAAAAAGTTAAAAATTAAGCTTCAAAAAATGTTTTAATAACGTTTAAGTAAAAAAATAAAAAAAAAACCCTTTACCTAGTCCAAATAAAAATTAACCCCTTCCCTGCCAGTCGATCACTGCCTACAGCGATCAAATAGAGATCACAGTATTATACTGTGATCTAATTTTTTTTTAACCCCTGAGGATTAACTTTTTATTTATTTTTTAACCCACAGGGGTTCAATTTATTTAATTAATTAATTTAAATATTTTATAACTATGTATTTTGCTAGCTGGGGTGGGTGGGAGTTATGGGAAAATGGGGAATTTACTGTTGGTGCTGCGTACTGCTAGT